AGAGACGCACATACTGTGGCAGTCATAGGCAATATTATGCTAACGTTTTTGATTCGGTCATCACGCTACGATTGATACTTGCAGCCCATCAACGGGCTGAATTGAATGTCCGAAACAATTTTCCCCCTTGCAAAAGGCGCCATGTATCGCATGCTTACGACACTGAGGCGACCTGACAGAGCTCCCCTCTTAATCGTGTGCTGAGGACGGCGCCGTCAGTGGGCGTCTGACCGAAGCCTGTGTCGGCGCGGCAGGTTCGGTCAGTTCCAGCACAGCGAGCCGCTCATACACCGGGTGTGCGGCATCATGGACACCAACGCCTACGAGATCCGGCTGCCCGAGATCAACGTGCAGGGCATCTACCCGAGGGCGGCGCTGTTCGAGCACAACTGCGTGCCCAACACGCACCGCACCTTCGACGCGGACCTTACGCTGGTGGTGCGCGCCGCTGTCGACATCGAGAAGGTCAGAGACGAGTAAAGGTCCAGGGAACCACTCACGCTGGTGGTGCGCGCTGCTGTCGGTATCGAGCAGGTCAGAGACGAGTCAATGTTCAGGGAGCCCCTCACGCTGGTGGTGCGCGCCGCTGTCGATATCGAGCAGGTCAGGGACGAGTCAAGGTTCAGGGAGCCCCTCACGCTGGTGGTGCGCGCCGCTGTCGACATCGAGCAGGTCAGGAACGAGTCAAGGTTCAGGGAGCCCCTCACGCTGGTGGTGCGCGCTGCCGTCGACATCGAGCAGGTCAGGGACGAGTCAAGGTTCAGGGATCCGTCAGGGGGGCGTCGTGGTGAATACGTCATGATCATTCGCGGGTTATGGTGGGTCCGACGACATGGGGCTCGTGTTACGAGATACGTCGGGGTGGCTCGGGGACGGGCCAAGCGGGTCAGGGTGGTTTAGGAAAAGACACTGGAGTCGGAGACTAGATGCGTCATGGTGGGTGAGAGACACTTGCAGGACTGACGGGAGACGGGTTTGAAGTTACTGAGGTATCAGGCGAAAGCGATGGGTCAAGTGCACGCATAGGTCTGAATCAAACAACCCAAGTCTGGACTCCGGCGTCAACAGTCGCAGTACAAGTCTCTGTCCACTCCTGTCACATTACATAAGACCGAGCCAGTGTCCGGGTCTCACAATTTCCACCGCCGATTACCTCGAATGCTGAGCCAAAGTCCTGAGAACATTTTGCCCTTCTTTGCTTCATACAAGTTTGTTCATGAAGCATAAAGAGTCTTGCTAATATTGATGTAGTTATGATGTCAGATTTGTCCAGTCAGTTATATTGTACTCCCGCATTGCAGGTATGCGCTTATGTTATTTACAAAATTCAAATGACGGATGCCATAAATCTCGAACTACATCAATCTGCCCACACCCAGTAAACGTCCACAGAAAAGAAACAAATCACACATGGCCCGCCCAAACCAAAGTAACTAAACAGGGGTGGGAAATACCCACCCATGTGTTGTGCGCCAAGCCATCTCCCTCATATGCATGTGGTGTTATTCAAATGTGCGTTTAATCATCGCTGGGGCTTGAGGGTGAATAAAAGTCTACTCTAAGACCCGGGTTTCTGGAAGCTTCGAGTCAGCCATGACTTGTTCGAGCCTGAGTTCTGACTCTGAGTCGTACTCGACTCACGCCAAGTCCGAGTCCTGGCGTTAGTTGAATGCGCGGTTTTTGAAGTCGGTGAACCCGAGTCTGCGCCAGGCGTATATTTAAATGAACCGATTTGGTTGAGCCTGAGTCCCAAAAGGGTATGAGTACGACTCTGAGTTTGGTCGTGCTCAGACTCCGAACCTGGTCAGGTGCAGGCAGGGTGAGGGGGGGGGGGAAACGGGGGGGGGGGGCCGAAAAAAGGGGGGATCGGGCGTCAGAGCCGGCCAGGAATCTGCGAGGCATCACAAGGCAGAGACGGACAGGGGGTTACGTAGGTGTCACCCGGGTCGCAGGGAGACCAGCGCCCAGGAAGACTTCAAGATGGGCTAGAGACAGATGACTGGTCAGAGACGAACCGGGACAGGTCGGAGGTGATCGACGAACAGTGACGGGTCTGTGGTGAAAGACGATGACAATCGGTCAGTGGTCAGAGACGAGCGCAGACACGTCATCGGACCACGTTGAAACTAAAATGCATCGGAGGCATGTTATTTCAGGGATCAGAGACCAATCGGAGTTCGGGGATCAGGTTGTGTGGACAAGAGACGGGTCGCTAGTGAAATACTGTCGAAGATTGTTCAGGGACGGACTCAGTGAGTCAAATATGGACTTGGTGGGTCAAAGACGGACTCATTTGATTAGATATAGACTCGGTGGGCCAGTGACGGGTTTGGTAGGTCTAAGACAGGCTCAGTGCTTAAGAGACGGACTTAGTAAGCCAGAGACCCACTCGATGGGTCAGAGACGGACTCAGAGGGCCAGAGACGCACTCGGTGCTTCAGGGATGGCTTTGGTGGGTCAGAGACGGACTATTTGATCAGAGACGGACTCGATGGGACAAAGACGGCATCGGTGGGCAAGAGACGGAACCTGTAGGCCAGAGACAGACTCGGAGGACCAAAGACGCGCTCGGCGGGTCAGAGGCGGGCTTGGTCTGTTAGAGGCAGACTTGGTGGACCAGAGACGCGCTCCGTGGGTCAGAGACGGGCTTGGTCTGCCAGAGACAGACTCGGTGGACTAGAGACGCGCTCGGTGGTTCCGAGGCGAGCTTGGTCTGTCAGAGACAGACTTGGTGGACTAGAGATGCGCTCGGTGGGTCAGAGGCGGGCTTGGTCTGTCAGAGACAGACTCGGTGGACTAGAGATGCGCTCGGTGGACCAGAGGCGGGCTTGGTCTGTCAGAGACAGACTCGGTGGACTAGAGATGCGCTCGGTGGACCAGAGGCGGGCTTGGTCTGTCAGAGACAGACTCGGTGGACTAGAGATGCGCTCGGTGGGTCAGAGGCGGGCTTGGTCTGTCAGAGACAGACTCGGTGGACTAGAGATGCGCTCGGTGGACCAGAGGCGGGCTTGGTCTGTCAGAGACAGACTCGGTGGACTAGAGATGCGCTCGGTGGACCAGAGGCGGGCTTGGTCTGTCAGAGACAGACCTCGGTGGACTAGAGATGCGCTCGGTGGATCAGAGGCGGGCTTGTCTGTCAGAGACAGACTCGGTGGACTAGAGATGCGCTCGGTGGGTCAGAGCGGGCTTGGTCTGTCAGAGACAGACTCGGTGGACTAGAGATGCGCTCGGTGGGACAGAGACGGGCTTTGTGGCCTGAGCCACTGCCCAGCTGAATAGCAAGGATCGCTGTCGCCGGTCTGTCCGCATCACAGCTTGTGTCACAGCACGGCCGAGATCGATCCAAATGACGTCACGCTTCCTGTCGAGCGCGCGTCACGCCGCTGGCCCGTGTCAGCCGGTGCTTCTGCCGAACTGCCCGGGGCGCGCCAGGCTTGCCGCTGACGCGGTTCCGGCACGTGCTATTTGTGTACTCACTGGTAAAGGTGTGCGTGTAGTCAGCTATATCGAGCCTGTTTGGCCAGTCTTCAAATGTCGCGACCAAATTGGCTCAAATAAATGGCATAAGCTGTCTGTAGATGTCACGTTTGCATTCCGGGGACGGGTAGCGCGGAGGCATCTATTTTGCCAGCATTGTTCCTCCGTGTAGATAGTTCGAGCTGGGCTACATAATGCAATCATATTGCATAATTCAATACAATAATGCATAATACAAATACAGAACGCAACAAAAGTAAAGCTTAATCTGTCCGTTGGCGTATTTTCGCTTCGAGTCACTGGTACAGTTCGGTCTCAAACCATTACACCGGTGGACCCACTAGTGCACTCATGTGACAAATGAGACAGGGGGCACGAAACCACTCGGAATTAACAAAAAGTTGAGCAAGGCTGGCTGGAGGCCTGAGCACTTCTAGGCTTCCACATCAACCCCAAACTTTGGCACTGATGTGAGCGTTACCAAGCATCAACACAAATCATCGTTACACACCTCCGGCGTTTCTTGTAGCAATAATCCTCCGCGTCCTTCCGTCAGGGAGAACATCTCTCCAGCATCTACACGGACAACCTGTGGGGTACGTGGGAGCGGCGTGAGCACCTGCTCAACAGCAAACACTTCCTGTGCGAGTGCGCCCGCTGTGCCGACCCCAGCGAGCTGGATACCCATCTCAGCTCGCTGAAGTGCACTCAGTGCCAAGACGGGTACGTTACGTCACGTTTAGGGGCGTCGAGACCTGTCGTCTGTGCCTGGCAAGCACGCTGTTTTGCTTCAGCACGCTATGGGAAAGACACCATTATTGCTCTAAGTGTTGTACAAGTGGCCGCAAGTTTCTGCCGTTTTGTGTATGCATGATGACAAACGTAGATAACTAGTAACACAACATACGCACAGCCCATTGAGAACTGCGCGAACTTGGACTTTTCAACTGCCGTAGCCCAGCCCTGCTTCCTCCACAGCTTTATTCAGCCATCCGACCCGCTGGACTCGGACTCGTACTTCACGTGCGACACGTGTGGGGCGCACGTGTCGGCGGTGCCGGTCCGCGCCACGCTGGAGGAGCTGCAGGCGGAGGTGGACCGCGTGGAGGAGGACCCCAGCATCGCCGCCTGCGAGACGCTCGTCTGGGCTTGTTCCAAGGCGAGTGGCAGCTCCAACAGCCATCGCCGAACCGACTGGCAAACGCCGTGGAACAGACATAGATCGGGTGACTGAGGCTTTGAATGGCGGCTATGGTCAGCCAGCAAGCATGGCATAAGGCGCGTAAAATCAGCGGCCGCTTCCATCACGCTCAAATTTGGTCGTGTGAAAGCAGGTGAATCAGGAGTGAGCGTTTTGCGTTGCGGCGAATGAAGCAATCTGGGGTATGTAGCAAGATCAGGCTTCGTTGCAATTCAGGAGAGCGTTGCAGGAGTGCACCAAGCTGTTGCCAAAACTTCATTGACCACAATGACCGCGTCTTTTCAGATCTTGCACCCTAACCACTACCTGATTCTGGACCTGACCTACCCTCTGATGCACCTGTACAACAGCTCCGAACCGCTGTCCCGCGAACAGCTCGACAGGAAGGAGCAGCTCTGCAAACAGTTTCTGCGAATCGCCGACGTGCTCACACCTGGTGATGACGACGAGAACTGCTATCCGTAGCTGGCAACGAGCTTTTACCAATGTGACGTTTGACTGAGACTGGTCACGCAGTCCCACAGCCTTAGCCGAGAATGCGGTCAAAGAGGAATGTATTGCATCTGCACGGACCGACAGATGGTGTGACGGTTGTCTTACCCATGGATTACGGGCCGATATTGAATCCTGGCCTGGAAAAATATGAACCTGCCTCTTTGAACAGGGCATTTTCCCTAAAACGTTGGTGGTCAATCACCCGACTAGCACGATAGCAAAATGTCTGTTACAGAGCATCGCGGTAACATAGAGTTTGGAGTCGGGGCAATTCACGTTCAGCCCAACGGAGCGTTAAGCAGCTTGGACAAAAGTCTTCTTTCTACTTAACAGTGTGACCAACCCATGCAATGAATCTTTGTTTTGTTTCAGGAATCTCAAGGCTTCGAGGCATCGTACTGTTTGAGCTTCAGCAAAGCACTGATGCAAAGGGCACGTACATTGTACAACTGCAAGGGAGACAGGATAAAAGAGGAGCTCATCAGCAAGTTCAAGGTTTGTCAGAAATCGTATTAACAACCATACACGTAGTGATAGGTTGGGCCAGAAGCTGGAAAATGTGCGGCTGCTAACATCTTTATGCGACCGATTGTTTTGTTAATGGACATGTGCGACCAGCTGAACAACCTTTGCAAATTCGCCGCATACTGTGGTAGTACTCTGAAACTGTTGTGAAATATCCTAGACTCTCGCGTACATGTTAGGGTGTTATCTGATGTAAGCCGGCGATGCAGGCGGTGGGATGGAGAACAGCTCAGGCGAGGGCAGGAGGCTTGCAGGCAGTGTTCCACATTTCTACACGGTTTGGAACTGAAATAGCTACATTGGAGATCATTCGGTGCAGTTCACAGCCCTGCTCTTCTTAAGGCATAACACACTCCAGTTTCTGAGCTAAACGCCCGCGAAGAAGAGGAAACTTTTCTTGCAGACTATTTCAAGGTCACCCAGGAACCCATAACGCCATAGTAACGGCATTTAAATCTTGCCATTCCATTGGCCCTACAGTGATCAATGCCAATACAGATAGAATTGTCGAGTCTTTCATATCTGGCGTTCGTTATAACGATTTCCACATATAACGCCCGCCAATCGGCTCTCAATCAATGCTGTGCAAGATGCGATGCCACAATCAGACAATGACGTATTGGTGAGCGTATTAGTTAAATAGAAAAATTGCGTTGTCTAAACCATTCTTATTTATTAGCATTCATTAAGCTCATTTCTTTTATATGAATGAAGCATACTTGATGTGAACGGCGGGATCGGGGTTGATTGCCAGAATCAAAAGCGTCAAGAGGTGTCATAAACGACAAGGATTGTCCATTACTGGTTATAAAAAGTGGCTACGTTGATGCGGAGTAGAGTCTTCAAACACACGACAGATCAACTGCATATGCTGGGCGGTCCTGTGGTGAATATGTGAGACCCAGCTGAACATCTGCAACCCCAGCACACGACACTCCAGGGACGACGAAAACTTGGGGTCGGAAATCCAGTCCGCCACTTTTCAGAAAGCCGGGCATTAACACGCGCCTGGGTGGCTGGCTAGATACCCTTCGCTCGGGTGGGGGTCAATTTGACCCCCTGAGATCTCGGGAACTAAGAAAGCTACTAGATACACGAAATTCACAGGGTGTGTTGACGTGTATATGAACTCACTTAGGTCGCAGTTTGAGGTTCCTAGATCATGACCTTTGAGTCAAATAAGGTCAAAAAAGATCAGATTCCAGGTTAGTCCTCAAAATGCTCGCGGAACCTAGATAACTGTTTCTAGGCAAAACGTCACGTGCTCATTTAAGGTCAGTGATCTTTTTCGACCTTTTAAAGTAATGGTGACCAGTCATACAAGACTGCTCTGAGTTTTGCATTTGAATAGGCGACAAAGATTATGTATGCATGCTCCCTAAAACAAAACGTTAACCTGGGTTATGTCAGGTCAACGAGCTATTCTGACCTCTAAGAAGTCCGTGGAAGACGTAGAATGTGGTCCCGGCTATCAAAAAATTTGAGACGAGCATCAGAATCTATCCCATACAGCAATCCCTAGGGTAATAAAGCAGGTTGGCTTTAATCTTGGTGTAAATTTCATACCTGACCTTAGGTCAATGTAACTGATTCATTCAATTGTTGTGTGGCCTAAGCAAGCATCTCAGACATGTGTCACTCCGTCTAACACTATGTTGTTGCATCAGATTGAACGATTCCCTAGAAATTGACTTCGCTGAAACCATAACCTGACCCTGACCTGCCATAGGTCAGCAACCTTAGGAGGTGCATCTTAATTTTTGACACCAAACGACTTGCTATTCAATTGCCTGTAGCTATGCAAATTTGTCGTGGCTGCGCCGCGCCGTTCAGAAACCATTCTGGAAAAACCTTCGGGGTGGTCAACTTGACACCCACCCCACCCGAACGCGTGTTAACCGTCATTTCAATATGGAAAGAAGCCAAGTGAAAAATCGTGTTGAGCTCGCCTAGCATGATCCGGCATGCTGTTTTGTGTGTAAAACTGTTTTTTCCAATGCGGCGGCCACGGCACAAACATAAGTTGCCCAAGATAACGCGTTTTTTCTCAAAATCGGACCATTGGCTAATCGCAGGGTGGAAGTCGGACCTATGTACCGCATTGTTTGTAGTTCCTTTTCAGACCAGCTTTATCAACGGGCTTAGTCATGTACGGTTTAATTAGCCCCAGTCATTCCATTATTCATCCTAGTATTCAAAAGCGTTTGGCCAGGAACATGGTCTCCTCGAACATCTCACCGACAATGGCTGTCCCAACGCCAAGAGCACTGACCAACGTCGCGTGAGTGCGCTGCACCCGACTCGCAGTAAACATATACATGCGCTCATACCACGTCTTAATGGGAACGAACGAATAAATGTAACTGGCCAGTCAAACGTCATAAGTGCATATATACATATATGATATAATATATATATATATATATCTATATATCTCTCTCTCTCTCTCTCTCTCTCTCTCCTCTCTCTCCTCGTCTCGCTTCTCTCTCTCTCCTCTCTCTCTCTCTCTCTCTCTCTCTCTCTCCTCTCGCTCTC